AAGAGCCAAGATGCATTATGTAAAGGTACAATTCCCAATGAGAAATGTAATTGTGTTGTATACCTACAATGTACCAAGAAAAGAATTTAATTAAAATTGAGATACTAAGATCTTAGAGGAAAACTCCATGAAAACTGAAGACATTTTAGTGTCATATAGAAATAATGGCTTGCAATAGATCTGTGTAATTAGTATTGTGCTATTACCAAGAAATAGGACTGCAGCCTAATTCTTCTAAAAGCATTTCAAAATTATGTCAATGTTTTTAAATCAAAATGGTAAAATTATCCTTCAAACTGTAGTCCCACAAATACATTGAAAAAAGATGAATTAGTTGATAAAATGCTTCATATAATTTTGATTATTTTTCCTTAAGAAAAACAGATAAACTATTAAATCATATACTCAATTATCAACAATTTAAACTTAGATCAAAATCTGAGAGAAATGTTCAACAGTCTACATATAACTTTATCATGGTCAAGAACTGGGACCTAATCACAATTGATTCTTTAGACCAATTTATCACTATTATTTTTTAAGAACATAGAAAATAAACACTGGAGAGAATGTGAAGAAACTGGAACCCCTGTGTATTGCTGGTAAGAATGTAAAATTATACAGCCACTATAGAAAAGAGTCGACAGTTCCTCACAAAGTCAAAACACAGAACTACCATTTGATCCAGAAATTCCACTTCTAGATACATACCCCAAGAAAACCTGAAAGCAGAGACTCAGATACTTGTATATTAAGTATCAGCATTACTTACAGTAGCTAAAAGGTAGAAACAACCTAAATGTCCATCAACAAATTATTTCAGTCTTAAAAAGAAATAAAATTCTGATACATGCTACAACATGGACAAACTTGAAAACATGCTTTAAAAAGTCAGATAAAGAAAAACCAAATTATATTTTATTTATATAAATTATCTAGAATAAACAAATCCAGAGGCAGAAAGAGGTTGTGGGAGCAGAGGAGAAAAGAGACAAACTACAGGAAGAACAGTTGATAGATTTTTAAGATATTAAAACTTGTTTCAGATAATTTTTTTAAAAAACTTTTGGATGGGCTGGTGTGGCTATACACACCTGTAACCCTAGCTATGTGGGAGGTTGAGGCAGGAGGAACCCAAGTTTGAGGCCAGCCTGGGCAACTTACTGAGACTCTGATTCAAAATATAAAAATAATTGCTTCTTGGCCTTTTGGCTAAGATCAAGTGTAGTATCTGTTCTTATCAGTTTAATATCTGATATATCTCTATCCGAGGACAGCATATTAAACAAATGTTTGGAGGTGGGAGTTGGAATAGGAGCTGCATGATAGATAATGTGAAACCGGAAAAAGTCCAAAGGGGAAGGGGAAGGAGAAGTGGCAGGGGTGGGGGTGGGGGCGGATATGAGAAAAGTAAAAAATGGAAACAAACTCTTTCTCAATAGAGAGGGGTGGAGGGGTTGAAGGGAGGGCAGAGGAATGGGGAAAAAACAGGAACCAAGATATATCATGCATAGGTACAAACTCCCAATGATGAATGTCATCATGTTGTATACCTAAAATGTACCAATAAACATAATGAATAAAAA